GTTGTCAGGAGAAACTGAGTGCTGAGGTGGTAGCAGGGCCCTGGATGTGGAGGTGAACTGAAGGTGTTGTCTGGTCTGCAGCTGGATCCACCAAAGGGCTTCAAGTGGAGAAGTGGCAGGTATGCAAAGAAGATATGCCTGTCAGTCCATGGGCAGGAGAGATGGCCTCAGCGTTGCTGTTGGGGGTCTTGGAATTTTGTCCTTTGCTTTAGATACTGGTTTCCCGACAGCTGTGTGCAGCAGCTCCACGCAGTCTGGCAAAAGCATGTGCTGGAGTGTCTGTGTGTCTGTGTCGATGTGTCTGCAGGTGTGGACGTTCATCTGCTTGTGGCCATCTAGTGGACATTCAGCTTGTGCTGCTTTGGGCTGCGACCGGCTTGTGGTCCATAAAGCTTGTTCTTTGAAAGACCCCTGTTGAAATGCTATTTCAAAGGCACTATGAACGATTTGGTGAAGCAAAAATTCACCGTTATCTAGCCTGGAGTTTTCCTTTAATAGATGAAGCATGTTCAGGCAGGGAAAATAATATTTTTTTATATTAGGAAGACAAAAAATCCAATACCAATTCCCCTGTTTGTGTACCCCAGCTTGGAAAGTAGCAGCCAAGAAAATGAGTGTAACCAGTGGAAAACTTTAGGTTGAAACAATACAGAAACAATACACAATAACACCATAGATGCTTTAAAATACCCCTTTGCTAATTCAGATTCCTGGGTCATTGCCAGTCACAGGGAGATTTCTCTCTTTAGCAGACAATGTTTCAGGCACTGATTAGGTAAACAAACTAACTAATATAATGAATGTGGATAACAAGGATACATTGAGACTCATGTCCCTTTGCAAAATGAGAGATTCCTCCTCCTATAATTTGCTCTTCTGCATCATCAATAATCAGAAGAAGTGTCAGTTGTCATTTGTGCTTCAGAGGAGGAAACTGGCAAGGTTGTCCTTGCCAGTCTTGACTCCAAAACTCCAGCTCCAAAACACTTGCAACCCTGTGGTCAAGCATAGAGTGCCTCAACTTTTATTGCTTTGGGCAGTGGGCACTGGAGGTGAGAATTAGATGATGATTAAAGTTAGAAACATTCCCATTTAGAAGGCTTTGCAATACTGCAAGACAAACCTGTCCACTTTACTCTCTTATCCATTTTTGGGGGATAAGTTTCCTGGAACAAGCTTCCTGGGTTTTCCAGAGGGTGTTTGTGTGAAAATAAAGAGCTGTAAAACTTAAGATATAGCACATTGGTCCAAAAGACACCTCTCCACATCAGATTGTAATAGCACATCTGATGTGCTTCAGTCTAAAATTAATCAGGGAGTTTCTCCACTGCCCATGAGGTATGGAAGCACAGTCTTTTTACCATACCCTGAGCTCTGCAACAGAGAACCACATGAAAGCAAGTGAGAAGGAAGGTGCACAGTACACAACCATATCAATAAAGCATTTCACAAAGCTGAACCAATCCACAGAATGGGAAGGGGCAAGAGGAAACATGGACAAACCTAAACATTGCTTGTAGCAGATCAAATTTTAAAGAGCTGGAAGAAGTAAAGCAAGAAAGGACAGTAAGCAGCTGAAGAATACCAAAACCATGAGTAAATGTAAGTGTAAGGGTGAACCCACTCCAGGAGAAGTGAGGTGCCAATAATAAATAACTGCATATTTGGAAGTTGTGGCTGATGTACCAACAGAGCTGAGAATACCTCTGAATTACTAAAACCAGTGCATAATTCAGCTCAGAATCGAGGCATGGGAAAATTCTGGTAACACATTGAGAAATTTGAAGAAAGCAGCGAGATCTCCCAGAAGAAAGTCCCACTGATGGAGCCATCTGAATGAGGACAAAATCATGAGAACAGGCCACAGGGAACAATTCTGCTGATCTGAAATGGCGTGGGAGCTGCCAGTGCCATGCTGGAGCTTTTCTCTCCATGTTCCTTGGGATCGGCTTGTGGCAGAGATGCTGGGCTAGAATCTGATCCCAGCAATATTCTGTAAAGAGCACTACTGGTTTCACTCGGCTTCATGCATGAGATGAAGATATGGCTCCTGGTATTAAAGCAAGATGGTCAGTCTTCCTGATTTCTGTTCTGATAGACATTCTGGGATTCCAAACTTTCATTTTTCCCAGTCAAAACTAAGAGGAAATTCCCATCAAAAAACCAAAAATTGGTTTCAGAAATCTCAGAATAATCTTACTGAAATGTTGATGTAATTTTGATATTCCCACTTGGCTTTAAAGCATAGATTTTGCATGTCTTATGCATCTGAGATTAAAATACAGCATTCATAAGAAAGCCATAGATAATTTTGATTACACTTCCACTGGCTGGACACTGTTTTTCCTATGTGATTGAATCAGCATTTTTTGATTGAAAATTTTCTACCATCTCTAGTCAAGATTGGGCTGCCAGCTGGTAAAGCTTCTGCTGCCTGCAGTATTTGTGTAACATTGCCATGGAAAAGGGGATGCTTCAGGGCATCTGGTTTAGCAGCAGAGGGCAGGCTGAGACCTGACCAGGGAGAAGGGAAGAGGAGTGTGAGGCATGGGGGAAGATGTTAGGGACATCGAGGCAGGAGGGAGGAGAAAGGGAAAGGTAGTAAAAGCATCAGTGAATAGGCATCTGATAAAATAAGATTGAGGGGAGTTTAAAAAGTTGCCCACTTGGTGGAAAAACCTGTTTGTGGGCTGAGATCCTAAGTGTGTCAGCTAGTGACAAAAACAGCTGTACAGAGGTGAGCCCTGCAAGCCACTCTAGGTGCGTGGAAGGGTGTCACTGCAGCCCCAAACCAAGCCAGATTTACAGGCACCAGACATGGGACTGTGCAGGAATTTCTCTCTGAAGTCGCAGAGGAGCTCTGCTGTGATGGATCTAACTATATTGGTTTATCCAGGGCAGAATAGGCAGGATCCCTCTCCTGTCTCAGGTGGGTTAAACTGCCCCCTCACAGCATGGAATTGTAGGGGGGTGGCTGTCCCACTGCCTGGGTCTGGTGGGTGAAAAAGAAGTATGGAATTTTGGGCTGAGTTTGGAGTAGGAGCCTCTAGTGAAGAGCCTCCAACTCTTCACTCTGGTCTCTGGGAGTGGGAGGAATGCCTGGAGTGAGAGACCATGTCAATATCCTGCTGACTACAGGGCCAAGCAAACCTGTGTTTCACATGGGCATGGAGGAGCAGGTGAAAAGAGGAAGGTGTGCATTCCTGAGGGTCTTTGCTCAGGCACTGGAGGATTTGCAGCCATCCATGGTCCAGAGGTTAGGTATTGGCAGTATGAAGGCGTAAATCAGACTGTTCATCATGCAGAGGAGGTGATGTGTGGTGAAGCAGCTCGGCTGTAAAATCCCCTCTGACATGCACAGAGTGTCTTCTGCTGGGAGAAGCTGGGATCACAGCCACTGAGACCACCACTCCACCCAGCTCTCTGCGGGAGCAGGCTGGCTGAGCTCCCAGGAATGGCCAAGGCTGGTTGTCACCAGTGTTAGCAAACCACCCGCCTACCCTGCAGCTCTGTCCTCACCATAGGGTTGCAGTGCCAGGCAGTTCTCTGCACAGGTAGAAGAGGTCAGCTTGCCTTACTAGCTGAGAGCAGGACATCATTCCCTGGCATCAGTGTTACTGTCCCCACGGCAGAGATGGCGGTCTGGGACAGACCCCCAGTGCCCCCCAGTGCAGCTTGGGCTCCCTCAAGGAAACTAACGGTGGGGACAAGAGAGGGTTAAGCTGTCAGCTCTGTAATGTTAAACAGGTGTCAAAGGCACCTCCATATATCTGCAGATTGAAATCAAATTCTTTGCAGTATAAAAAGATAAATTACCCAGGCGAATCCCGCCTCATCCCACTCATCAGGCCAGCGCCAGACGGCAAGCAATTTTTTTTTTTAATGTGCTAACGACCTAATCAAGCAATCAAGTCGGAGAAGATTGCGGAGTGACCCCGAGCATCCATCTGCCAGCGAGACCCTGCCATTCATTTCCATTCTGCCATGTACTTTCTGGGAAAGGGAGGGAAAAAAAATAGAAAAGAAAAAAAAATCCTAAACAAATTAACACCCAATTTTCTGTGAGTCTAATTAGTTAAATGAGGAGGTGTTTGGGGTGTCCGCGGGGAGGGAGGGGCTGCCTCTTGGAGAGGGGCCTGGTAACTCCATGGCATTAATTAGCGCAGGTCAATGGCGTGGTTCCCTGGGGACCAGCTGCTTTAATTTCCCGTGATATTTCAGTGCCTGAGGCCCATCGATTCAAACTGAAATTAACTTATTTTTCAATCAGGCCTGGGCTGCCCCTGGGGCTGACTCTTCCTTTGCCTCCTTCTGAATAGACCTCAAGCAATTTTTCATCTAAAGCTGATGCCTCTGCTCGGTAGGAAGGGAGGGGAGCCGGGGAGGGAGGAGGGCGAGGGAGACAAGAGGAATGGAAATCAGAGAGAGAGCACTAATAGATTTCTGCCAGTATCACCCCCTCCCCACCATTGCCACCCGCCTCTCTGCTCGCTGGCCCCCAGGTCACAGCTCAGAGATTATTCTGCCAATTTTCTGAGAAGATGAGGGGCTTTTCAAACTGGGAATTCAGGGCAAAGCGCACAGATCAGCTTCCCCCTTCTCCTGCTTCTCCTGATCCTCCACCCCCATCCAAGCCCTCCCTTCAGGCACCGCTGCCTGCAGCTCTGTGCTGCTGCTCAGACACCCAGTAAATAATAAAAGAAAATCCCAGGCACAAGAGCCAAAAGCCACTAGAAAAAGAAGCTGCAATGGCAAATTAATTACATCCTACAGAGAGGGGTGGGACCTGCTTTCACACTTGGCCCTTGCTACTCCTGCAAGGAAGGGAGAGATACCTGGTGTCTACTGCATAGGGAAAGAGGTTGTAGTGCCTTCAGGATGAGCATCCACACATCTGCCTTCACCCTGCTGGACAAACACATGTGTTCCCATGTGGGAAAGGGACTGACATGCCTTCTCCTTGCAAAAAAACCCATGTCCCTCCTTGTTACTTGCTCCAGGTTTGGTTCCAGAACCGCCGGGCCAAATGGCGGAAGAGAGAGAAATGCTGGGGCAGGAGCAGTGTGATGGCTGAGTATGGGCTCTACGGTGCCATGGTGCGTCACTCCATCCCACTGCCCGAGTCCATCCTCAAGTCTGCCAAGGATGGCATCATGGAGTCCTGTGCCCCTTGGCTCCTGGGTAAGAGAGCAGCTGCCTTCATGGGTGATGGCGAGTGGGTAGAGACAAAGAGGGGGAAGCAAGGAAGAAATCAGAGTTATGTTGAAAATGGGTGAAGGGCAGCAGGGTGAGGCTCTCCCTGCCCTGCCTCGCTCAATGCCCCCTGTCCCCCAATGACCCTTGTCAATAGGATTTGACTGCTCATCCCAAATTCCTGCTGGACTTTGGACCCTGACCTGCAGAATCTGATTGGGACAGGAATTTGCCCCCATGCTCAGGCTGATGTTAGCCTTCAATTCCCATGGCTAAAGCATCCTTCATGCTCAGCCCTGGAGCAAAGGCTCTAACCCTTGTCCAGGGCAGGAGGTCATCCCAGTCTCACTCCTCCAGCCCTGTGATGCTGTGTGGGGTATCAGGACCCCCAAATGCATTGTCCTTGCCCCAGGTCCCAGGGGGAACACTCTGCTGCCTCCTCCTGCTCTTGACACCTGGTGGAGCTCCATTTCTGTCCGGTTTCACTTGGTTTTCTGTGCAGACATGGAGGTAGCAGCTACCCTAACATACTCTTGCTCTTTGCTTCCCTCTTTCTGACCTCCCAGGCTGGTTCTGCCCCAAAACCACTGTCTGGCATCTTGACGACGGGCTGTCCTGTCCTTCTGTCTCCGTGAACCTGAGAGAGGCAGAGGGGTGGTTGTGTGGAGTGGGTTGCTACAGAAATAGGCAATAGGGATCCCTCCCCATCCTCAGTGAATCTCAGGCAACTGTGCTGCTGTCTGAGACCCTCATCCCCATGCAGAGACAAGTTAGCTTTACGTTCACAGAGAGAAATGAAGAGGAGAGTAATTATAGACCTTTGGGGGCAGCCCGGAGTCCACAGATGCCAGGTGCCCCAGCAGGCAGCTGCCTTGTCTGGGCTGCCCTCGCACGGGTGCAGGAGCAAGTGGCTCCCCGTGACTGCTGTATGAAGCAAGGGTTTCTGCTTTTCCTTAATTCTGGCCTCTCTTTATCTTTGCTGTTTTCAGTTCAAGATGGCTTTCCCATGCCCAGGCGCTTTTCTAAACCCGAATACCAACAATTCTTTTTAGGGATGCACAAAAAGTCTCTGGAGGCAGCGGCTGAGGCGGGGAGGAAGACAGAGGTGGAGCGCCAGGCCCTGCCCAAGCTTGACAAAGGTGACAAGGAAGAGAGGGGTCCGGATCCCAAAACCACCATTTCTCAGGAGGAACTGAGAGAAAACAGCATTGCTGCCCTCAGGGCCAAAGCTCAGGAGCACAGCACCAAAGTCCTGGGGACCATTGCTGGGGACACCCCAGCCCCAGGCAGGAAGCCGGAGACAGGGGAGGAGATGGCAGTGGCAGAGGATGAGAGACAGACGGAGAAGTTGAACTCGTCGCAGAAGGAGGAGAAGCTGATCTAGGGGGAAGAGAGGCGGTGGAAGCCAGCCCCGACAGACACTCTGTCCTCTGGGGACCACGTTCCTACTCAGACTGTCAGGCCTCCCTGGCCACCCCTGCCAGGGAGCAGGGCCCTGGTCTCTGTGTTTGGGGCTGCCTGGCAGGGGTGCCCATTGCCTGTTCCCCTTGAGCGTACCCTTGCCCCTCAGTCCTCTGCCCCACCAGGCCTTCCTTACCCCCCACCCCTTCCTTTTGGGGGACACACATTATCATTGCCACCTGAGAGGACACCAAGGCTCTGGTCCCTTCAGCCTCATGACTGTCTCTGGGGCTTTTTCCTGCTGCTGCAGCCCCAAAGCCTGTCTGCCATCCTGAAGCAAGCCTGTCCCCTGCTGCCATGGCCCTCCTTGGTGCACTTCTCTCCCCAGTGCTGCCTAGGTCCCTTCCCATTGTGCCCTATTCCACCATGCCCCAGGCAGCCCCATTACCTTCCCCTGGCTATCACCTCTGCCTCTGGCCCAGGCCACAGCAGGACAAGCCCATGGCAGTGTTTGCATGAAATGATGACTATCCATGCAGGGTAGTTTGCACTTTCCTCCCATCTCCCTGCCCAGCACTGGGGTCTGCTGGGAAGGGGCTGCAACTTTAGGCCGGTTATGTTTTGCCCCTGTTTGGCAAGGAGAGGCAGGTTTAGCCCCCAGGCAAAACACCCTGGTCCCACCTGGCAATTTGAGGTGATGCCAACCCATGTTGCTGGCTCCTGCAATGCTGGACAATTGGGTCTGACTCTGCCCCAAACTCCAAAGCCCTGTACCCCTGCAGAAGCCAGATGGTGAAATTATTTACTGAATACATTATTGCAGGTGAGACAACAACATCCACCTAATGTATTTATTGATTTAAATTTGTCCAGTTCACCCTCTGAGTGTTAAAGGGAATGACAGCCATGCACATCCACTCTGATACACCCTGTAATGTGTACATACACGCCATATAAGCACATGCAGACTCACACAGCCAAACCCACTCCATGGTACCATCACTTTTCCATCCCGGTAGGGCACTATTCCCCCTCCAAAAGCTGTAGGACAGTGACTTCCAGGTGCCCCTTTCTGTCCTGCTTTCAACTGTGAGCACCCTTTCCCCACAGTTTTTCTTCTGTCAAATGTTCAGCCTGCTCATCCAACCCCTGTTTGTCTTTGTTCCCTGGTCGTTTGACGTGTTAGATTTAGCCCATGGGGTGTAAATAATGTATATACAGTGAGAAAAGAATTCAGTATTGAGGTGTTTGAGATATGGAGCTGTAACAACTTCTAGTCATCCAGCATCTGTGATTTATGTGCCATTTTCTGTAAAGATATGAACAAGAATAAAATTAAACGGGAATACTGTGTATGAGTCTGGTCACCAGTGTTCAAGAAGGGTGAGTTCAGCCAAAGCTGAGAGGGGATTGGATGTCAGGCTGTAGCCAGAGAGGGGTGGGAGATCCAAAGCAGCATAGAAAGAGGTCTGCACCTTCCTCCCCACCCAGGCATGGAGAATACAGGGCTTGGGTGCTGCTCTCCCTTTGCAGGGAAAGACAAAGTTGAAAGGGATGTGCTTGTACTCAGAGGAGAAGTTATAGCATACAGCTGGTCAGAGAACAAGTCACTTCAGCATCCAGGACAGCCCTGGTGCTTTGAGTCACCCCATATTACATGTGCCATGGTGCTAGAGAGTCAGACAGACCTTTGGGCAGGCTCAACCCCTCTGCCAGGAGCAGGTTGCAGGGCTCAACTGGCCTGAGGAGCTGAGGCAGCAGCCAGATGCTGCAAATGCAGGAGAGCTGGTTGAAAGGGATGGACACCGACAGGATTTCCAGCAAGGTGAGCTCTGATTTGAGAGCAGTGGGCACCTATTCTGAGTTATCAGATAAGAAGCTGAGACTTGCCTGCCTTGTTAAGGGTATCTGGGCATGGTCTGATGGAAAAACCTAATGTCTTAAAGGGAGGGGAAAAATGCAGAAGCAGAGCAGGCATGCATAGTAAATAAGAGACTTCTGGAATGATGAGGCTGGTTGGGCTTGACTTTGTGGGGGGACTATAAGCCCACAGGACTGCGTTTCCCCAGAGTGACAGAACCCTTGTAGTTAACCCACCGACCTTAGAGCAGCTCTGATACAAACCAGGTGTGTAGCGTGCAATGAGTGTACCTGATGGCAGACAGATCCTGTTCCCCATGCTGGTGTCCAACCTGTTCACCAAACACATCAGCTCCACAGATCATGAGTGGTGTTGCACTACAAAGAGCAAAGAGGAGATCTACTAACCTCTCATGTCTGCTGTTGATCCCATCAGTGTGCCTTACTGAGAACAGCTCTACTTGCAGGGAAAGCCTTTTTCTGCCCCTCTCTTGTGACCCCTAGGAAAGGAGGTGAATCTGGTCAATGAAATTAAGGAAGCCTCCAAACTCTGCCTTAAAAAACCTACCTATGTAGGGCCTGAAGGAAAGGAAAGCAGAAAAAAAGATGTTTGGAGGCAGGGAAGAAACTTTGCTCTGCTACAGTGGATGGTGGGAGGTCTCAGTGTGAGGAGATAGGCTGCAATGTTTCATGCCAAACCACCACCCCCTGCTCTACCATGGCCTCATTGAGTGCTCCCAGTTCACCTGGTGGTACAGCTGGTCTGTAGTGTTTGGGAGGAGGGAGAGAGCCCAGCCCCGCTTGCCAGAGAGGAAAGCTCTGATATCTGCCCAGTGGGAAGGGATGGGATGCAATATCCCCACCCTGCAGCTGACAGCCAAGTGAGTAAAGCCTTCCCTGGCTCATCACAGATAACACAGCCTAGTTCTCTGCAGTAAATGGGCTTTAATTTTGGGAAGGGGATGGTCCTATCACTCACGACTAGCATGAAGTGGGACCTAACTCTTACAGGTAACCTGCCCCAAGCTGCCTTTGTGGCTGGCAGAGGACTGTGGGGCTGCAGCAGGGGAGGTGAGGGGAGGGGGATGAGTAGAGGGAGGTGTGAGGGAGGTGAGTGGAGATGAAACAGAGAAGTCCGGGGATGCAGAGCAGCCTTGGGAGAGCAGGAGCAGGAGCAGCAGCAGGCTATTAGAGCCTGGCCCAGGCACCTTGGCCCCCGAGGGGAGGCCAGGCACAAGAAGAATCTGGCTCTTGTTCAAGAGTGGCTGTCAGGACTCAAATTAGCATGGAGGTTATTTTCAGTCAAATATTTCTACAGTCCAGCCCTTTCCCCTCCCTTAAAGTGATTGAATTTCTTTTTTCCCATAGTGCTCTGGAAGAGAGGAGGAGAGGAACAAGGCAGGGGAGAAAGGCTCCCTGTGCTGGAGGGCTTCTTTGCGTCCAGTTAGCCCAGGACGACGTAGCCCCAGCTTGCACAGGGGCCTGGGTTTTGCCTGGGCCAGGTGTCCTGAGCAGCTGGAAGGGCTCCAGGGCACCCATCTCCTTGGTGAGAGGCAGGTACCCTGCAGTAATGGCCAGGCTGCTGGCCAGGACCTGCTGCTCCAAAACTCTTTCTCAGGTTCCCAGATGCCCCCTTGGGTTGGTGGCTGCCCGAGCCTGGAGCCATGGGCCCCTCACTGCCTACATGCCCGAAGCCATCACCTTCTCCAGACCCAAGGACCACCAAGACTTGTACAAGGTTTCAGTGGATCAAGGGGATGCCTTCTGGGGAGCACTCGGAAGGAGCCGGCTCACCTGGATCACCCCCTTCCACTCTGTCCAGGACTGCGATCTGCATCAGGGCAGGGTCTCCTGGTTCCTGGGTGGGCAGCTGAACGTGGCAGGTAAGGAGGGAGGCAGACATGGGATCCCACCGACTGCCTGCAAGTAATTCTATGTGTGGGGCTTCAGTCCTGGGAGCATATTGGAAGAGCACACTGTTACAGGGTTGGAGAGAGGGGGGTTCCGAAGGGTCTGGTTGGTCCTGCAGTGGCTGTAGTGTAAGGTTGTGGCTTATCCTGTGGTAGGAGCTGGGTCTTTGTGGAGGGGCTGCAGGTCGATTGGGGTGTGCTGGAAGCCAGGCTGCTCTTCCTCAGCCTCTGTGGATCCCACATGAGGGCAGTGGCTCCATTCAGGCAACAGGCAACAGCACCAAACCCTGTGCATTCAGCAGACAGGGTTGCACCAGGTCACCCCTGCCCAGCGAAGGCAGGATGTATCTGCAGAAAGCAAAATACAAGAGCAATGAGCCACACTGGAAGTCCCCACTGTCATGGGAGACTCTTCTGTGGGTTGGGGCTACTGCCTTAGCAGGGCTACCAGAGGCTGGTAACACTTTGTCCTGCTCACAGTGGTGTTGGTCCCAGTGTTCAAAATAAGAGACAAACCTCTCAGAAAATCAGGTCTTGTAGTCCATTTTAAAAGGAGAGCAGGAGTTATTTGCCTTTAGGATTTGAGATCTTATTATTCCCCCTTTCATGTATGTTTCTTTCTCTCCTGGGAAACTACAAATGGTCAGGAGATAAAAGCATTTTGGTATGCAAACTAGGGCTGCTGCATCATCCCATTACTTCAGTAGCGGGTTTAAGGAAAACACAGAGTGAACAAGGCTTCTGAGGAAACTGCAGCTGCCAACAACGTGGGAAACTTTTCTTGGAAGAACAACAGCCAAAGCCTCAGCTTACGATGTCCCTGGAAAGCCAGCAGCTGTGTGCTCTGCCTTTGCCCTGGCTCTCTTCCATCTTGGACAAATGCACTCTGTAGCTTTCCTGTGCAAAGTTTGTTTTGTCCTACATTTGTGATTCAGGAGCACTGCCACACAAAAACTGCCCTAGTCCACCCAGAGGTAGCTGCAAGGCAGTGCTGGGTGGAGTGGTGGTTGTGTTAATGTTTGCTGGGCACTCTGAGGACATTGTGGATGTGACCTCCAAAGGAGCTTTAGGCAGTTTCTGCTCTGGATTGCATAAATTTGCAGTTAAGGGGGAAGCTGATAGTGGGGATTGCTGAGTATTGAAATGGTGATGAGTGTAATGAGGTTGGGATGGTGCTTGTGATCTGCTGGCTAGTATCCACAAATGTTGCACAAGGCTGCTGAGAAGGCCAACACACAGCCCTGACTGACCTGAAAACTGGACTGCTGGTGCTGGCTTTATGAGAGGTGAGAGGTAAGATGTACTGAGGGTTTCTCTGTTGATGAGACTGGGTTTTATATTCCAGTGAATTGCCTGGACCGTCATGTCCATGCAGCCCCAGACAAAGTGGCCTTAATCTGGGAGAAGGATGAACCAGGAGAGGAAGTACGGGTGACATACAGGTCAGTTACTACCTCTCAGCATACGAGTCCTATTGCAGCATGCATGAATATCTACAGGGCTGATCTGCTGATGTCTGTCACGTGAGGGAATGCAGCATCCCTTCACGTAGATAGATCAACAGAATGTTGGCTTGCTTGTGCTGATCTGAAACTTCAGCCTACCTCCTGATTAAATCCTCTGGGCCCTTAGGAGTCTCTACCCAGCTGGAGAGGCAGGTGTAAGATCCTTGGGGCAGCACTGCAGTGCTTGTAGGTAAAACGCACAGGAAAGTCACATGTGTGCCTTCCCAGCAAGGTTCCTGGGGTCTAAACTTACAGGTAAATGGTCTGCAAGACAGGCCAGATTCACAGCCTGTGTGTGTTGAGAAATCCTATTCTCATCTGCACATCAGCAGTGCTGCTGGATTTGGCTCTCTGGAGGACTGCCTGTCCAGCCCTGCTGGGTTGGTTTGGGGTCACCACCTTCCAGCTTAATTTGCCTGCTCTCTGAGTTTCTGCTGCAGAATTCACTTAAATTCCCCTGCACAGTAAAAAAAAGTCCCTCTGTCCTTTCCGGCTCCAGACCTCACACTACAGATATGACCATCCACCCCTGCCAATCTCCCTGCATGGAGAGCCCTTCCAGAAAACGAGTGACTGACATCCAAGCTGTGGTTTTTGGGAGGGACGCTTCTCGGGAGAGGCATCTTTTTGTTCACTGCTTTCCTACAGCTGTTGTTCTTGCTAGTGGGCACAAGCTCTGGAGGACTTGACCTTCTCAGCTTTAGCAAAGCACAGGACCCTGTTTTCATGGGAGAAAATATCTAACTTCTCACATGTAGCCTCCAGCTATGCAGGGTAGTGTGTCAAGCCAGTTGTACAGGTTGGTAAGAAACGAGCAGGCTGTCAACATGGAAGTCAGCTGCGCTGTTGTGTGCTTGCTGAGCCAGAGGAATTGCCAGTGGCCATTGCTGTACAGAAACCATTCTGCTTTATTTTCTTTTCTACAAATAATAACCCATGTTAGAATCTGTCTTCTGCTTTCCTTCCCACTGAATTTTACAGCCCTCCCATGGACATCCAGAGTGAGGAGTGTAGGGATAAACTGTGTATAACTCTGAAGTCCCCTACCTTTAAGCACAGTGGTTAAATCTGCAAGAAAGTCTCTAACTGTGTAATTGCTTCTTTGGGCAGGGAACTGCTAGAGCTGACCTGTCGCCTGGGAAACACCTTGAAACGGCAAGGGGTGAAACGGGGTGACAGGGTTACAATCTACATGCCCCCGTGCCCACTGGCAGTGGCTAGCATGCTGGCCTGTGCCCGCATCGGGGCTGTGCATGCTGTGGTGTTCGCTGGGTTCAGTGCAGAGTCCCTTGCGGACAGGATCCGGGATGGTAAGAGCCAGTGGGTAAGCGTGACATGTGTTTCCCTTGGGGGACAGTGTTGAGCTTGCTGGTTCAGCAGCTGGGGGGATTGTGTGGACAGCAAAGGTTTTCTGAGTAAAATTCTCTGAGCTATCTGGGGAGTATCCTGATATCATGGAGCAGGAATTAGCAACCCAGGAAATGGCATGAGCTCACTAAATACCTTCCAGCCCATGGGATGAACTGGTTTTCTCTTTCATCCATGGGACTGAAGGGCTGGGATACAGCATCTCCTGTGAGGAGATGCAACACCGACAGGACTTAATGGAAAATCAAGATGCAAATCTGCTGGTTTTGCTAAATGAAGGACATGAGTAACAGGGGCTGAGAGACAGAGAGAGAGGTGCAGCGTCATGGTAGAGCCAAACTGCTGTGTGACTGATAGAGAAGGGCAGAGCTGCTTATGTGACTCTTCTGTCTTCTGCAGCCCAGTCAGAGACAGTGATTACAGTGAACCAGGGGCTGAGAGGTGGCAAGGTTATTGAACTAAAGAAGACAGTGGACCAGGCTGTGAAGCAGTGCCCCGGAGTGAAACGGGTTCTAGTTTCCATGAGGACCACCAGCAAGGTTCCCATGACAGCCCTAGATGTGCCACTGGAGGAGGTGAGGCCTGCCTGGTGCTACTGCCACTTTCTCTGGGCAAAGTGCTTGCTCTGGGAGTAGGGACAGTGGGTAGAGAGAGGGTCTTGGCTGGTCATGACAGTTTCACTGGCATTGACACAATTTGGGGATATTGTCCCACAGCAGCAGCGGCAGCCAGAGCTGCACATGAGTTCAGGACAGTCTCAGGAGCCATCAGGATGGACTACTGGTGTCTCTTCCCACGCTACCAGCCCTGCGCTCTCAGGAGCAGGCAGTGCAAGTCAGGGCTCATAGCAGGGTGGACTGAGGGCTAGAAACACACCAGACATGGGCTGCTACTTTGTGAACCCAGCCTTGGACTGCCACTGCACTGTCACACACCGCTCTTCTGGCAGATCTGGCATTCTCTGTGAGTGCTACTAGCAATTTGTGTCCAAGGAAGCAGGCAGTGAGGTTGCTCGTGTGCCCATTATCTATGGCTGCCAGCATGGAGCACTGTTTCTGAACAGGTGAGCCCCTGCCGTGCATTTCTGCTGGCTCCCTGGAGCTACACAGTAGTCTCTCTGTCTCTGCTCATCGCATCTGCAAGCAATTAGTGCTGGAAAGGCTTCCTGGAAGACTTCTGTGCTGGTCAGAGCAGCAGCAGTGTAAAAATAGCTGCCTCTTACTCAGCAGGTCTGCTCCGACTGAGGAGAGTGTTTGCCAGCTCCGCAAGGCGAAAGGGAGTTCAGGCTGCTGAGCAAGGGGAGCGGAGGTGCAGAGACAAGGAATGATGTTTGGGGGGAGCTCAGTGCTCAGAGGGGAAGGACGCTTGGGCGAGAGGTGCACAAGAAGGTGTGGGGAGCAACAGGGGAGGTACACAGGCAACACAGGTGCACAAGCAACACAGGCTGTGAGACAGGTACACAGGCTGTGAGACCCTGAAAGAACTGCTGTGCTCTTTCCTGCAGGAGATGATGAAAGAGGATGCATGCTGTGAACCTGCTGTCATGGACAGTGAAGACATGTTGTTTCTTCTCTACACATCAGGCAGTACTGGCAAACCCAAGGGCTTGGTTCATTCTCAAGCTGGTTACTTGCTGTTTGCAGCTCTCACACACAAGGTAATGGATCCCAGCAACACAGTGCGTATGAGCCAGCAGCTCATAGGCAGTGCAGAGAATAGACATGCTCCTTGTTGTATTATGAGCCCATCTTTAGCCAGTGCCAAGTCTCTGGGAAGCCCTCCTAGGGCGTCAGTAGAGCACGTATGCCTACAGGTGGTGCTCCATGGCAGGGTCTCCCAAACACATATTCCTCTGAGCTACCTTCTTGGCTTTCTTCTTTCTTTCACTGCCCTATACTAGATGGAACCACTAGGTAGGATGCTCGGTCCTGCAACGGTAATTTTATATTACTGTTGTAGCCAGTTGTAGTTGGCTTCCCACCAAACCCCACAGACTACAGAAGAAAAGCTCTCAGAAGAGAGAGAAGGGAAAAAAACCTGAATAGCAAAAACTATATAAATATATATATATTATATATATATATTACATATATTACAGATATACAATTAAGGTGCTATGTACATATGAACACAGAAACCCCAAATTGCTCCCAAAAGGGAAAGAGGGGAAGGGAAAAGGGAAAAAAGGACAAAAAGGGACAAAAATGGATGAAAACAAAACATGTATGCACAATCGAAAAACCCAGTAATTGACAAAATAAAGAACTAACAGAATCTCACCCTTCCCTTGAGAAAAGCAGGACAGCCAGATGCAACCCAGCACTCTCCCCTCACACATGGTACACAACAGTCACTGCAGGCCTCAGCCCCAGATAAGCAAGACCGAGACAAGGATCTACCGTTCCCAAACCTCACTGGAAGAAGAGAGAGCGAGGTCTCTCTGACCAGCTTTATTTATACCTCAGTTTATGTAAAGGAATAGCATGGAATACTTCCTTGGTCACTTCTCTAGTTCCTTCCTGGTTACAAGCTGGTCTCCAGGAAGGCCTAGACTGAAACTATCACAACTGTGTGAGGGGGAAGAATCCATTTGCTCCTTAAAAACTGTGGCTTGCTTTTCCTAAGTGTAAGTAGCCTAACTCATGTGGGAGATTGAAGGCAGTGCTTCTGGGAGGGGCACATTTAACAACATCTGTAAAAGCTGGTGAGTGCCCTCATGAAAAAGGGCCTATACCTGAAGAGTGTGGGTCATCTTTGGTAGGAGGAAAGCCTTTAACCATGACACATGCCAAAACCAAACTCTAACCAAGCTGGATAAAAGGACAATGAGCACAGAGATGCATGTGGCCACAACAATGGTTGCAAGGGGTATTCCTATGAAATTTTATGGGGTTCTGTGTACGAGGGAGTTCGTAATTGAACAGTCCCTTAATTTTGGGTCTGGCTCTCCCTGTGCATGACTGCCTTTCCAGCAGTGCCTCAGACCGTGCACCCTGTGACTAAGCAAGCTCAGGGCTGGCTGGGTCTTCTCTGTTAGCTGTGAATGCTGGAGACCATACTTCCCAGGGTGTGTGGAAGCCCTTGATTTTCCTGTGAGCTAAGCTTTGCCCAGCACAATAAGTGACCCACTTGAGACCATCAGAGTAGGTTTGTGAGAGCCAGGGCTGCCATACCAGAATGCAATGCAAGGGGTGAGCAGCACGTGGCCATGTTAGCTCTCAGGAGCACTGGAAATCTGGAAACAGACCTCTCAGTTTGATGGGGCAGACTGCTGCTACCATAACTCACTGCTCTGTTAAAAAAAGACAGATGAAGCAGGGGAAGTTTCCATTATGAGCATTATGGAACACTTGGGGCCCTGGAGTCCCCAGCTGGCAGCCTGCAGCATGGAGCTGCAGGAAGAGACAGGAAAGTCTGAAACCGCACAAGTCAGAGTAGAAAGCAAGAAGTGGTGGGCTACTGGGAGACCAGCCCCTAGGAAGTTTGCCTGGCACTAAGAAAATTAAATGAAGGAGAGTGCTTAAGGAAACTGGATGTGTCGATGCCAATCTGACAGCACTCAGTTCTGCCCTGCACAGGGTAGGCATCCTTCCTTCATATTCTGGCCTTGCAGCCAAGTGTCTCCCAAGGAATAAATGGGGCAGTGGGAAGAAGAGCTTGTTCTGCTTTCCACCTGCCTGCAGGCACAGGACAGCACTCATCCAGCTGAGGTGGAGAGGTTCCAATTTTTGTGGGCAAGTTGGGGTTGCTCTGGGTCAAAGTATCACATGGTCCCTCTGCTTGCTGCCTCAATGCTCCTATGCTGGGCTCCTTGATGAGCTCAGGGTTTCCTGAGTGTTTACTGTCCAGGAGCCCAGAAGTGCCCAGGAGAGATTCATAGAGTTCTCTACCAGTTTGCTCTTGCCTACGACTCCTCTCCTTACATGCAGGCATGTAAGTACAGAGGGACATTCCTTAGCCAGAAGGTTCTGTTTTGATGCTACAGGATACTTGGATCAGCCTCGTCTAGACATCAGCAAAAGGAAGGAAAGGCTGGGGGTTTTTTTGCACTTTTCTCCTTTGGAAAAGTGCAAATTTGGCTGTTCTTTTTTTTTTATTAAGTGTCTATCTCCTTCAACTTCATAAAGCACCTTAATTTTATTTTTTTTCTGATGTTTTCAAAAACTCTGCAGGAAGAAAGAGTCCCTGCAGGGGTGGTAGGAAGATAGAAGGATGCAGTAATGTTAGGGCTGAGAGAGAGTACACTGTTCCCTGTTGTCCCCCTTGCGAGGAAGGCAGGCCCTGGCACTACCCCTCACTGCCTCTCTTCTCTTGTTTAGTACGTGTTCGACTACCAGGACAGGGACATCTTTGGCTGTGTGGCAGACATTGGCTGGATCACGGGGCATACCTATGTGGTCTACGGCCCTCTCTGCAATGGTGGCACCACAGTCCTTTTTGAGAGCACTCCTGTCCATCCTAACCCTGGTGAGTGAGGTGTCTCAGAGGAGCTGGGATATTCCACAGCACCCTGCAACACCTGCAGGCGAGCACTCCTGTCCATCCTAACCCTGGTGAGTGAGGTGTCTCAGGGAAGCTGGGATATTCCACAGCTCCCTGCAACACCTGCAGGCAGCCTGATGCCAGGACACATGCAGCAATGGCTCTGCTGCCTCAGGAGCAGACTGCAGGCTATGCCCAGTAGAGAGCTACCAGGGGAAGAGTCTTTTCTTCTGCTTAGGAAGCCACTGCTGCTTCTCCAGGGGTGGAGCTGTTATTCTCTGCCCCTCCCTGCAGCAGGGAGAGTAGCAGAGCTATGTGATGTGGAGGAAAAGGGCCTGCTGCTGCTCCTGAACAGCTTCAGTCCTTCCCATCATGGGATTAACTTGGCTGAGGGTCCTGACACTGCTAGAGAGCCTTTGTTCTCACCTCTTCTATCTTTATCTTGGTGTTGGGCTGCGAGGACCTGTGTGGGTGCTCACTGGCCCTGTTTCCATTCCAGGCCGCTACTGGGAAACAGTAGAGAGGTTAAGAATTAACCAGTTCTATGGGGCGCCCACTGCCATCCGCCTGCTCCTGCGATACGGTGATGAATGGGTGAAGAAGTATGACCGCTCTTCTCTCAAAGTGCTTGGCTCAGGTAAGTGCAGCAGCGTGGGCTGGAGCAGCAAATCCTTGTGCATCAGATTCTGCCTCTTCCCACAAATGCCAAGAACAGCAGCAACATGAGACCCCAAAGTCAGGACACTACACTATTTGGGGATGGCTTCACAAGCAGGTCATGGGAAGCTGTGTCCTGAACCTGATTTTTCTGCTCTGCTCCCTTGTCTTTCCCCTTGCAGTGGGGGAACCCATCAACAAGGAGGCGTGGGAATGGTACTTCCATGTGGTTGGCGAGACACGATGCCCAGTAGTGGACACATGGTGGCAAACCGGTGAGATGCATATGACTGACTCCTTGTTCCAGCTTCTGCTCTCCCAGGCTTTAGGAGTGATCTGCTGCTTTGTTGGCCAAGTGATAATGGTTGTTACTGACAGTCTTGTATGAGCGAGGCTATAAGGGCCCAGGAGCACCTAAACATGAAAGAGAGAAATGGCCTTTAAAGCTAACCTAGACAAACATGGGGGATTTGATGGCACATCTCGGCAGATTCCTGCTGAACTAAATGAGCACATCATCCATCTGCTAAGAGCCTTCCCCAGCTCTCTGGCAAACCCAGCCACAGCCTGTGCCATGTGCAGTGGGGCCAGGATAAAGGCTGCTAGCCAAACAGTGCTACTTGGCTTTCTTCTTCCCAACTTTGATGAGCATTATGGTTTCTTTTTCTTCAGAAACAGGAGGCATCTGTATCTCACCCCGTCCTTCTAATCCCGGAGCAGAAATCCTTCCAGGCATGGCTATGAGACCCTTTTTTGGGATACGCCCCACCCTCTTAGATGACAAGGTATATTTATAACCTGCAGTCCAGGCACTGGCTCAGCCCACTTTCCACCAGACACTTGCAGAATATACTTGCTGATGGGAGTGGCGAGCTGTAAACATGTCTTTCCTGCTCACCTCTGCTGGACAGCAACCTTCTTACTGGAAAGGGACAAACAGTGAAGCTGTCCTTCCAACTAGTGCAGAAGTTGAACTGTTTTCTAGTTTGCACTGTCCTGACAAGACAGGCTGTGCTTGGGCTCCCTGGCACATCTTTCCAAGGTGAGGTAGCTAGGCAGGAACATCCAGTGTCCCTGGAGGGGCCCTGTATCCCACCATGGTAGGCAGTTTGGGGCTGGGAGAGACTAAGCCTGTCCTGTTGGAGTGGGGAGCAAAGGACTCTCCTCACTGCCTTCCCTGACATTTCCATCACAGGGTTGTTAAAACAGGCAATAACTAAACATCCCAAGTACCCTCAGCCATGGTTACTAAAAAGTAACTATTTTACAGGGAAATGTCCTTCTAGAAAACAACATCTCTGGAGCCCTTTGCATCTCACAAGCCTGGCCAGGTATGGCACGAACCATTTACAATGACCACAAGAGATTTCTGGAAACCTATCTGACTCCTTATCCAGGTAAGGAAAACAGGTGGCAGGGCACTGAAGAGATGTTCGGTTGGGTATGATCGTGTCTGCCTGCTGGCTTTCTGAATGGAGGCAGGACTCAAGAGAGCTGGTACAGCTGCTTTGTTCTTCCATAGATCCTCCTCAGTGCTGAGGCCCTTCATTTCCCCAGGCCTGTTACCACAGCATTGCCCTGGGAATGGGTCTCTCTCACCAACCTTCCCCATTGGATCGCACATTGTCTTAAGGTAGTGGATTTGTCTTTCTGCCCCCAATCCCCTTGAGCACAGACAGACCTCTTGGTGCATCTCTTGCAAATCCTGTCAGCTTCTATCACTCACCCCAAGCAAGCCCCAGAGTGTATGTGTTTTGATGTGAAGCTAAGAGGTGAAGCAGCAAGACCACAGGCACCTGCACTGGAGCAAAGTGTTCCCAGCATGAGGTGATGAGGTAGGCTGGACATTAGCCAGCACACTGCAGAATGAGGGAAGGAGCCTGATGATAGATCAGGCACCAAAAGAGGCAGAAGACTAACAAAGAAGGTAGGCACTTTCACCCTGAGCAGTTGAGGAAGGCACAGAGTACACGAGCCCTGGTGCCAACGGAGAGGAAAACGGGGCAAGGTGAAAACCCAGCTGGTGAGCAGCTCACATGCTCACTGCAACAAGTGACCATGGCATGGTTCTGGCAGGTTTTTTCTTCACTGGGGACGGTGCGTATCGTACCAGGAAGGGCTACTACCAGCTAACAGGACGGCTGGATGACATAATTAACATCAGTGGACACCGGCTGGGCACTGCAGAGGTGGAGGACGTTGTGGTAAGAGGTCTGGGTGGGAGGTAAAGCCATCCAAGGAAACAGCAAAGGCACACTGGTAGTGCTCAGGGAGGTCTCTCTTAAATCCCCCGATGGAAATACGCTGCTGCTATAGCAGCAGGGAACAGTGTTGGACCCACAGCCTGCCTGTGGGAACAGCTTCCCACCCTTTCCTCTCTCATTCTGGCTCTCTACAGCAAGGGAGAGACAAAGCCTGGTAAGGCTGATGCTCTAAGTGGGTGAATCCCAAAGCAGCAGTCAGACATGTTAAGGAGGAGCATCTTTGGGCCAGTGAAGATTGCGGGACCTGGTGGAGCAACCTATAGGCACAGAACAGGGTCTATAAGGTGCAAGCCTAAAGCAACCAGGGGCGGGGTGAAAAGACTTGTGTTTGCAGACCTACTGAGGCAAGAAGGAAAAAGGGCAGAGGCCACTCGAGGCCCTTCCTTATCTCTCTGCATTACGGTGGGCTGCAGCAGCCAAGTCAGCTCAGGGCAGCTCCCAGGTGGCAGCCAGCCTTCTGAAAGCACCAAGCCAAACCTGTTCTCTTCCAGAATCATCATGTGGCAGTGGCAGAGTCTGCTGTCATCGGGTACCCACATGAGATCAAGGGAGAAGGTAAGATGCTTGATTTCCTGCCCCTGAAACATCTCTCCTGGGGCTAAGGGACTGCAGTCAGAAGTGACACTGTGGCTGTGTCCACACCAGACAGCATGTTAGCAGGGATCAGACACAGCCATCACAACTGCACAAGACAGCTAGGCTTTGCATAAGGTGACAGCAGCAGCATCATGGTCAAAAACACTCACAGCTTTGGCTACAGAGCATCCCCAGAGGCTACCAGCAGAGTTCTCTCCTGGCACTAAGTCCAGGCAGGCCCTCAGGAGCATGGTGTACACAGTGTTCAGTAACCTCAGGTCTTTCTGCCAGGAGCCTATGTGTTTGTTGTGCTGAAGAAGGACAGTGGCTACACACAGGAGACTCTTGCTGCTGAGCTACAGGAGCTCATCTCCAAGAAGATCGCTAAGTACGCAGCTCCAGATTACGTTCAGGTAACACATGCAGGCTGCTCCAGTACCCTGGCAGCTTGGCCAACCCCTTTACCTTAGCCTTAATTCTGCTCCTCCCCATCACAGGTCACACACCGGCTGCCCAAGACACGCTCGGGTAAGATTATGCGTCGGGTGCTACGGAAAATCGTGGAGGACAAGGCCAGTGAGCTTGGGGACCTGACCACACTGGATGACCATGAAGCTGTGCAGCAGATCATAGAGGGACACAAGCACCTTGTGGAGGGGCAGAAGAGCTACTAGCTTGGCTCTGCCAGCAGCCACCTCCTCTACCTTCACTCCAAAACTAAGGAAACATCCAGAATTTCCACTAAGCAAGTGGTGGCCAGTAAGTGGTCAGAGACCACACCTCCACTGCATTCTCAGAGTTACCTCTTCACAACACAGAGACCCTCAAAACCCGTCTTCACACACATATATGAGGCAGATGAGAGAACATGTCTCATCACAGGCAGAACAGTAAGGGGAGACAAGCTATGTTTCCTACCCTAAAGGGAGAGGGCCAAAATCCCTCCTTAGGGTTCCTTATGCCTTGCAGTAGCTGTGGAGATAGCAGCAGGGCAGGATTGCTAGTGCTGGATAGGTATATTACTCCTACCCCTGCTGTGCTCTTCAGCCAGTCTAGTCCAGGACCATACAAGCATCTCCTCCAAAGCAAACCCCAGAAAGAAAACATCCAGCAGTCCAGTTAACAAATATTGACTCTTCTCCATAAAAATAGTTTGAAAACAGGCTCCATATTTTAATACAAAAATGTTCCTTTAACATGTAGCTATGTGTCATAAGGAGAGCAGAGACACACCCCTTCTCTGTGCTAGCATTCTCCTCCCCTTACAATGCACCTCCTGGGGAACACAACCCTCAATAGAGCCACAAAGTACAGAAATCTGTTCTGCAGAGCTGTGTATCAAAGACAGAGCTCCCAGAAAGGCACAGAGGGCAGAAAAGGAGGCTGCATCCTAGCCTTGCACCACTGCATCCTGGAAAAAGCAGAGGTTCCTCTGGCCCTTGTTTCTACAAGGCCCATGAGGCAGCATCTTCTCTTTGGGCAGCCTAGCAGCTCACCCCTTTCCCACATGAGAGCCAGGGAGGCAGAAGGAGGCCGGGAGAAGGATAGCATAGCTGTCTGCTCCTGACAGAACCCCACACTATGAGTTCTGACATGCTCTGTGTCCATCAGCAAAATCCAGAATTGGTCTTCCACTGTTTGAATCATATGTTGACAGCTGCTGCCTTGGCAGCTCCATGTCTGCTATTGAGAGCTCTCCCAGATGTGCAGGTTCTGCGTCTGGCCAGACAAGGGCATGTTTTTCAGTGTCCTTCCCCAGCAGGGAGCCGCTTCATCTTCTCGCATCGAGTGAGCTGCCATCTTCCCTCCCCATGAAGTTTCAAAATCCAGCTGTGGAACTATAATTCAATAACACAATGTTGAAGGATGTCTCTACAAGGGCATGTCCTCCCACAGTGACGTACTCCAGCCTTAGTCACTCCCCTCTGCTCACTGGAGACCCTCTCTATCTCCTCTATCTTGCCACCACCAGGGAGGCATGGAATGCTGTCTCCCTGCCTCACCTTTTCCAGGCTGGGTCTGTGTCCCACGCTGATCAGCGTCATGCCCAGCTGAAGGCACAGACGATACAGTTCATGCTCCACCTCTTCTGTCAAGGCACTAGTGGCTTCATCTAGCACTGAAAGAAACGTCGTAAACCTCACAAATCCTCTCCCAGCCAGATATTTCCCCTAGGCAAAAGAGCAGCAACTGCCAAGAACATTTCACTTATTAACTGGAGTTCACCAAGAGCATCTAAAGAAGGCAAGGAGGAAAAGCCTAAGGACTCTGGTATTCCTCTAGCACAGCTAGTGTCAGTCAATTTGGAAAGCTGTCCTTCCCCTCAAGTCCTTGAATCCATCCAAACTGCACTGTTCTCCTCATTCCTCTCCCTCAACAGCTGCCAGCCACTGCCTCATCCCCCCAGTGAGAAAGCCGAGATATGACCTTCTCAAGACAAGCCACGTGCCACAGCACCAAGCTGAGCAGCAGCCAGTGCACTGTTCCAGCACACCACATGTGGAGCTGCTAGGATGGCCTGCAGCACCTTCCTGACTGTTAAGGGTAAATACTACAGATCTGGAGCAGAAAAATTCAATTTATTTTACACCATCTCTACAGTTTTTAGTTTGCAATCCACAGGTTCTTTTTGCCCAGACAGCACCAAGCTGTGATGCAGGCTTCAGGGGAAAGAGAGGTACTTACCTGTGGCTGCCTGCTACTGACACTGGCTGCTCTGTTCACCCACATCCACCCTGGCCCTCATGGCAAGTCCTCCAACAGCCCACCCAGCACAGACTAAGGAATTGGCCCTATCAGCTAATCACAGATGCTTCTGTGATCTCTCAGGACTGTTTCTCACTGGTCCTTGTCTTCTTTTGCCATGTCATGGCTAAATTTCCCATATTGCTTCCACGACCCTACAGATGTTTGTGAGCTTCAGATATGGCAGCTGCCACCACATCCCCAGCATAAAGGCTTCTTTACATAGCAACTGGTGAGCATGCCATTGGACCTGGACGAAGAACATTAATCACTAATTCCCTAAGAAGAGTATGTCTTATGTACAGTTCTTGATTTACCATCCTCCACACAAATAATGAAATGTTTTCACAACTGAATCCTCTGTGCGCTATGCTGCTAAAATAACGGCCAAGGTGAAGCATGCTCCTAGCAAACAAGAGATTTCATGAGCTGTCTCTGTACCAGCTTCTCTTTGCACCAGGGCCCTGCCTTCCCCCCTCCCCTTTTCTTTAGTAGTCAGTCACTCACCCGCATATTTTGGCTGGAGGTAGAAGAGCCGTGCAAATGAGAGTCTCTGCATCTCCCCTGGAGACAGGATGTCATACCTGCAGCAGGGTCAAAATTCAGTACCTCCCACAAGAAACAGAACTTGTTTGCTGAAAATTATATGGCTTCTGATATCAGAGACATCAACAAGCAACTGTCCCTATGTCCCTTGTGCCCCTCGCCATGCTGCTTAGAAGTGTTCCCCACTCAAAGAAATCAGTCAAATTCATGCAGACAGTGAGCTCCCTTACCAGTTCCAGTCCACCTGCTCATCCAGTCCTCCAGCCCTTGCCAGCAAATCAGTCTGCAGAGAGCACAGCAGACTTGTGAACACAGTCACCAACCCTGTCAGCCCATGGCTCTGAGCATAAACACCCCTTTCCTGCTAGTCTCGCTTTCCCCACTTGAGCTGAAGTTGCTCCTTATCCCTCCTCCTCTTCCTGTCCCATAGACAGTCGTGCCCCAGCTACAATGTCCCCACATAAGTCCAGCACACAGTCATGCTGTGCTGCCACAAAAAAATCATCCCTTCTTCCTTCACTGGCAGCACCAGGAAAGAAGGCAGCAGCACTACCAGTGACTCACCAGCCCAGCCAGCTCCAGGAATCGCACAATTCTTTCATCATCTGCAGACCCTGGGGAGAAAGCTGCAAAGCATAAGCAAGGGCAATGTGTGCTGAAGCCACAGCTGCCCAGAGGAGTCGGTGGGGCAGAAGGGAAGGATTTTCTGACATTCAGTGTAGCTGACCTGATCCCTTAATTATACCAGGTCCTGAGCTTTGGCACAGATAGCCTCAAAGACTGACCTTTCCTTAAAAATGTTAACCATGCCTGTGAGCAGCATGCCAGTAGGTAGCGTGGCTCCACAGATACACCTGACATTTGGGTCAGTCCATGGCCACAGATGGACACAGCCAGAACACAAGGATCCAGGCTTCAATTGCCAAGGCCCTGCCTACCAGTTTTGCCCTTATAGCTGAGACTGCACACTGTGGGTGGTGGAGTCAGGGAAACAGGGCTCAGGTAATAGCTGGCAAAAGGACGCTATGTGGGATGAGAAAAACCTCAGGGTGAATCAGCTGTGGAGCAGAACATACATTTGAGCTGGTACAGTCAGCATCTATGGAACCTGAGTAGAAGGGCTGTGCATCTGCCATGGACCTCTATGAAGCTGCTGAACAGCCTCAACAGTAGCTGATGGCTGTAGCTACTCTCAGCAAGATTGTGACTCCCAAGTGTTTGAAAGCAGCAGATAACACTGCTGGACATCTCCAAGCTACGCAGACCTCATGTGGTCTGACTTGGGAAGAGGGTAGGGAAGAAAAAAGGATCTATGTATTCTGACCTCAAGAGAATGCAAAGCCCTGGGATATCATTTGAGAAAGAGAAACAGTGAAAGATGGAGGTGAATGGAAAATGAGACGAAGACAAACATGGCTTGCCCAAAGTCAGACTGTGCCAGACAGATCAGATGTATCCCAACAGCAACATGTCTAGCACACCAGGTAGAGAGAGCATGGCCAGCTTGTTCTCATTGTACTAAGAGAGTAAATTCTTATCAAGTGAATATGTTCCCTCCCAGAAGGGAGGGTACACAGAGCTGACCTTAACGTACACTAACGTAAATCTTATAGGGAAAAGCAAAGCAACAAAAGCAAAACAGATGAGTCTTCTTGATGGGCCATGGCAGGGGAGAAGCTACACTGAGTACAGGACAGTGAGCCGACACCACAGGGTTGGTTAATTGCTCTAATGAATTTCCACATACCTGAAACTGGATAGATCTCCTTCAGGGGATAGATCACCTGTTTAACAGAGCAAAAGAAACCATGTTGAGGGAGCTGGACGCAGTCCTTCAGATATGCAAAGGGGGTGGAATGAACTCAGGCACGAGGGAAAGAGCAGCCACAGGCATCCTCCCTCTTGCAGGCCTATCTGCACCATATAGGTTCACAGGGCATGACCACAGCTGGGAGCAGAGCTGAGGCCAGAGTAGAGACAGTCTCTGGGCTCACCTGCTCACGCAGGCTTCCGTCAGTGAAGAAGGGCCGCTGTGGTAGGAATACCACTCCCCGGGGGCCAAAGCAGGTCAGCATCTTGATGCTCCCTGCACAGAGACACACTCAGTCAAGCCTGCAATACCAGCAACTCCCCACTGCCCCCTGTGTAGTCCTGTCCCATGAAGTAGCCAACAAATCCCCACAAAAGTGTGTTTGCAACACAGGACAAAGCAATGAGAGCCACAGAATGTGACAGACGGCTGGCTCCAATCGGTGGATCAGTGACACATTCACCATCACAAGGTGGCACTGGCCTCACAAGACCGCCTTCCAAACTCAGAGCAGCCTTGGTTGAGAAAGAGAAGGCTGCAGCATGTAGCAGTCCTTACCCTGCGTGCTCTCCCAGAGTCCTCCAAGGACCCTCAGGAGAGATGTCTTCCCTGTACCAGTGTTTCCCACAATCATCACACTGTTTCCTTGTGAGATCCTGAGGCTCAAGTCCTTGATGAGCAGCTTGCCAGAGGATGGCACCGAAAGTGTCACTTGGTCCAGAAGGAAAGCTGTGTCCCTTGGCACTGAGTCCTCCCCAAAATGGCTGCTGGGCCACCACCAAGACAAAGGAGGAGAGATCTGGGGGTAAGTGACCACACTGAGATTGTCAAAAATCAGACACCTTAGACCTCCTGTGTCTCTGTGACAGTAGCCTTGCCCCGCACACCCCAGGAACAACAAATCACAGTGAGCACTGCCTGCTCCAACCGTGTGCAACAGATTCTGATACCAGGGGCCACCTCCATCCCACGGTAGCCTCACACTCTGGCACGTAAGCTGTAAGTCAGCCAGTTGCTGAGAGGAGACTCACCCGTCCAAATCCCAGCTTGTTTTGGCTTCCGAGTAGTTACCATTTTTTTTTCTGCCAAGGCTCAGCAAGGTCTCCTGCAGTTCACCAATCCTAGACAAACAAGAGGTTGCATGAATGCTATGGACAACTCCAGCAGCCTCCTCACAATATCCAAACGTGCTCATGTTTGCACACAAGCAATTTTTTCTCATTTTTTTAGCACAGACATGGGCAGAGTCTTGTCCTGCACTTCCCTTTCTCCCAGAGATGTGCTGACAGAGAAGCTCACCTGTGTGTGTAGCCAGCTACATCGGTCACAGTGCTGGAGAGATCTATGAGCTGGCTGAAGCAGCCAATGAGGTAGATGGAAACAAAAGCATTCTGGGGAGAAATCACATGCCAGAGTAAGGGTCAGTGCTGAGCTGGGGTGCTGTCTCTTACTTCAAGACTGCAAGGAGGCAGCCAAGGAGTCCTCATATTTGGCCATGTCAGCTGACTTTGCAAGATCAATGAGAGGCTGTGAAGTCACGCATGGTGGTGGGAGTGAAGGAGAAGATGACCACAGTTGAAAGGAACAGGGCTTCCTTGCTCAGTGCAGCAGTTCTTGCCAGGTGGACACATGTCCTGCCACCCAGGGATGGTATTTGCAGAGTGCCTGCTGGCCAGCCCAGGGTCCAGCACACTTGCCCTAAGTCACGCAGATCCATGCCACCAGCACCGTATATGGCTCAGAAGAGGGTGTTTCAGCCAGTAGTGTTCACTTAGCTATTTTTAGCTCTGCATTCTCTGTCAGAAGCCAGTTTTGAGTATCTGGTAAAGAGTCAGGTCAGGAAGGCAAATGCAAGCCAGGTCAGCCTCGCTGGTGGCTGTGGTCACCACGGGCAGACCTGCAGCACTGAGCACAATCCCCCCACACTGCTGAAAGCCAGAGACTTTCTGATCTTGCTATTTTTTAGACACTCAGGTCTGAGCCAGTAAACACTTATGTAGATGTGACCTTGACAGGTTAATCATATACCAGCTGGCTACAAGCTCCTATTTCCATGACACCATGGCTAGGGACAGTCTAACCTGAAGGTCAAGTGATACATGACTATCCAGCCCCAGGGCCACCAGCCCCATATGAAACCTCCATCCTGAGTGCCTGCTCACCATCCACAATGGGATATAACCCTTAACTCACCTTGCTGACGAGGGCACTGAGCTCTGTTGGACTCAGGTCACTGTAGACCCCAGAAAAAATGGGAATGGCAATGACCACGTAGCTCAGGATGCTACCCAGATAGTCAAAGGTGTTGATCCCAACTGGGCAGAAACACATTGAGAGAAGATAAAGAGTTAGAGTAGGAACTTCTGTCCCAGCCAGGCTCAAATGTGGTCCATGAGCCCAGCCAGAGGAATACGCATGTTTTTGTCTCAGCCCTTTATGATGCACCAGAGCAGAAGAACTCATTTCACAGGACGGCACAAGCACTAGGGTGAAAATTCATTTGCCAAGCAAAGAGCACTTTGGGGCAGACTCCTGAACAGAGAAACCTCCTGAACAGACATACAGCTCAGGAACCACTATGGGGCAAAAGTCACTTTGCCTGCTTGTTTCTATGTTTCAGGGTCAGGCTGACTCACAGTAAACAGGAGGGATTGCAAAAAGGAAGCTCTGGGTTGAGATGGTTTTCCATGAAGTGTATCTTGGAGCACACAACAGGCAGAAAGACTTAAGACCCCAAATTCCCACAGACACCTCTGTTCAGGGCTCTCCCTCCCACACATTGCTCAGAAGCTCACTATGCTTCTGAGATGAGGAAGAGCTGTCTTTATAGTGGTCATTTAAAGCCAAAACCTGGACTCATTGACAATAGGAGAAGGGAGATTTTCAGAGGACAACTATGCTTAAGGGACATGCTCTATAGGAAAGAAGTTTCCACAGCTTCCAACCACATACACCATCTTCTCCTTCCCCAAAGCTTAAGCCTTTCCCTCTTTTCCTGGCCTTTGAACACCTGCCCCCCAGAAAGCCAGATTCCTGGGTTCTCCACAGCTCTGCCTCTTTATGAGGCTTTTACACAATAGGATTCCCATTTAGGACTCCAGGAGACACCCTCTATTCACCCTCAGGGCTTTCATGAACCAGCAAGAGGCAGGAGAGGAAAACACAGCACCCACCCAAGTGCTCTACCAGTAGAGTTCCTGTGCCTGTGGACCACCACAATGGAGCTAGCACACACCCCACTTCACCCCTCAAACTGCCCACTCACTGTATAGCCACAGCTCCTTGCCTATCAGCTCTCTCTGGGTCTGCAGCAGGCTCTGCAGCCTCCGGTCCGTGCGCATGTGCTCCACTCGCCCAGCCCTGTAAAATAAGATTGCAACAGACATCCCAGGACCCATGGGCTTTAAAACGGATGCTTGGAACAAGTCTGGCACCTTAACTTCCAAGTAACAAGCTCTTCATTGAGCAGGAACTGAACAGCCAAGAGCACCTTCCTGAAGAGCATCATCAAGAAACTGGCTGAAACAAGCAGTCTTGCAAATCTCTCCCAGAGCCTGTGGATGCTGCTATTGCAAACAGGAGGAGGGTCACTGTCTGCAAGGCCCCAGCCCGGAGCAATGCACACCCCAGGTTAAACACATTTCCCAAGCAGAGCCTGGGTGGAAGACTGGGATGGAACCGCTACACAGCTAGAGCCATAAAGGAGAGGGCAGAGGGGAGTCCAGGAGGTGATAATAAGCCCACACAGCCTACATGGCCAGCAGCCCCAGGTCACCTCTTCCTATTTCCCACTTCACAGGAGTGGGTCAAAGACAAGTTCTGAGCAATGCAGCTGGCAGTGGGGGTGACCCCAGCCCCACAACTCCCCCTTTCCAGGGCTATCTCCATCAGGTCACCCACCAGTCAATTTTGCAGTGATGCTCCCATGGCCAGGCTGAGCCAGTAGCAAGGAGACATCTCAGCCCTAAACCACCACCTTCAGCAAGTGCGGCAGCTCCTTCTGCTGTTTTGCAAGGCCTGGGCTGCCCTCAGGTGGCAAAATGCAGAGAGCTCCACATCTCACTCCAGAGATATAGCCACGGCAGATATTGCCCCTGACATCTAACACAGGCCTGTGCTCAGTACATACCCACACTCCCATCACAGTCCATGCAAGAGAAGGGCCTGACTAGATAAGGCCAGAAGTTGCACAAAAACATCTAAATTAAGATTTTTTAAGTCTCATTTCTGAAGATTCTCAGCTCTTAGAAAAAGACATTCTCTTTCTCAAAAATGCATCTGGCTAGAATTCAATTTGGCTTTATTGTCCTACAACCCAGTTCGGGTAACTACTGAACTACTGACAGCAATCTTTGCTGTCCATGTATTCAGAGAGGACAAAACCTTGGACACAAGGAGTTAAAGGCAAGCAAGGCACCAAGGACCAGAGCTATTATTTCTGTTGTAGAGGAAGAGAGATTCCTGTATTGGTTTCCTCTTTTCCTTCCACTCACTTCACTTTTAAAGCAAGTTTGCCAAAGGCTTAGAAACAAAAAAAGTAAAAAAGCAACAGTCTCAGCTTTTGTTTCTTCCTTTACCAAAACAGTGGTCAGGCAGGTGCAAGAGGACAAGGTTTAACAGCTAGAGAAGTTGAGCAGTCAAAACCAGCCACTTGTTTCATGCTCATCCTCTTGCAGGACTCTAAGAATGCAACCTTTTAAAAAATTCCTTTATTTTTAATTAAGATGAATACCATGAAAATGCCTGGTTTTGTGCATTTCAATTTAATTCTAGTTTCTCACAAAGTCAACCTTTCCTACTAACAGATTGTATTGAAGTAGGACACTGTTTTCTGGTATAATTCACTTTCCATTTTCTACTTAGTAACAGAATAAAACAATCCAAAATTGTGAGAAAAAGTACTGCAGCTTAAATAAGGGTATGCAATTAGAGCATCTTCTCCGTTACAAAAAATTCTAATCAACCAGTAGGAATCAACCAGTCCACAAAGAGATAACTCAGACTTGCCAATGCAAACCAAGATTGATTTCAGTTATTTAAATCAGTTTCATACCTGTCAATACAAATCTTTATGAAAGCAGTGATTTTGAATCAAACCACTTTGGAGACAGCACTACAACACTTGAAATGCCCAGTCATTACAGCAGGAAGGAGACAAATATAGATCACAGGCAGGGAAGACCAGAGAGATGACAGCTGCTACTTGCTTAAATTCCTGGAAGAAGTGCAATTTCACAACACACAGGGCAAGGGCAGACTTGTGACAAGAGAGAAGCAACAACCTCCTGCCACCCCAAAACAAGCTACAGGAAAATCACGGCTCTTTTCCTGGGTTCTCGACATTTCTGTGAACAAAGCAGCAGTTCAGCAGACTTCAGGGCATCACTAAGCAAGGAGGTGCTGCTGGGCTTCCAGTTGTGTGCTCAGCTCTGGGGCAAATGGCACTGAGCAAATTCAGAGCAGCAGTACAGCACAGGGAGGGTCAGAGCACAGACTGACCAAGAGGAGCAAGCAGAGGTAAGCTGGCCAGGCAGCAGCTAGCACACCCACAGAAGCAATGCAGGTTAGCAACAGCAGGATGTTAGCAACATGTAACAAGTTCCCAGAGGAACAAGATGCGATAAGACCTCGATCAATCTTCCAGGTAAGGACCTGGCAAAACATCAGCAGTTGTCTCTAAGTCAGCACCAAATCTGTATCTGGCCTCTAGGGATGTCAGAATGGAGGCAGAAGGAAAATAACTGTCTCCAGTTTTTGTGGATTATTTCTGCAAATGATGCACAGAATGCAAAGAACACCATGTCAGGGCTGTATGACGCTACAGTGGAAAGGAGGGGACAGAAAGCTCTGGCTGCAGCAACAGGACTTGGGATCCTGTGGGACACATAAATACAACAAAGATGCCCTGAACTGAGATGATCCTTATGAGGATATAAAGAAATGAACACTACTAACCTGTAGAAAGCAGCTGGTTCTGCATTGACACGAATCTGCATGTGCTTGAACCTGGATAACCAAGAAAAACATCATAATGGTAAACAAATACTCAGTGAATTATGTAGCCAAACCCCCTGCTAGAGGAAACTCATCTTACATCTGTCAGAGCACTGATCTGAGGCAGTTCCTGACAGAAGCACTCAACAGGCTCAAAAAGGCACCAGAGACCAAGGCTTAGCACATGGTGACATCATTCTGGACCAGCTCAATGGTGCATTTGTTTGGTATCCTGCTCTCTGCTCACAACTTCTTAGCCCTTGGTCCTCCTGTTCGCTGCTAGTCCAGCATCTTGACCATACAGAATCACCACAACTAACTGCCCTGGTCTAGGTTCCCTGTGCCACACCAGTTTCTGCTGCTGTCCTTGAATACCCTGAGCCCTGGGGAAAGCTGCAAAGCCCCTGCCACAAACCCAGTCAACCCTGCAAAGAAAAGGGGAGTAGGTGAGTTACAGAGCATATGGAAAGACTGTGATGTTTTGGGAACTTAATGAAAGTGGTGGTGAAGCAAAAACCTGATTTCTGTCAGCAGATGCAGTTCGCTGAACTTGCATCTGCACCCAGTGAAGCTGCACATGCAGTTTTCTTCAACACACCCATAGCAGAGGCATCAGCAATGACCAGGCAAACAGCCTGAAGACTGAGCTGGGAGACTGAACCAAGGGCACTGCCTGCCATGACAAAGGGCAGTGTCCATCAGTACACGGACTTTGGAGCATGATTGCACAGGTAGGTTTCTCTGAGTGGGGGGAAAGTCACAGACAAGAGAAGCAGCTGCACACATAGCACTGAATGGGGACAAAAATGTAGCTTTCACAGGAGCTGCCAAGAAACAGTGAAAACACTGCTCAGCTGCGACTCACCTGAAATCGCCCTCCAGTTTTTCCTGCTGCACAAGTTTAGACACAATTGGGCTCATCAATAGTTTGTTTGCAATCGTCCCAATGACAAAATATCCAAAGATGCTCACCGGGCCTAGCCAGCCTGTGCTACAGAGAAGGAGAAAGAGAGGTCAGCTAACAATCCAAGCAAAAGGACATTCCTGCATCATTGGTCTCAAGAAATCAGAGACCTCAGCCTTGACCTCTCTTGGCTTTCACAGACGTTTGGGAGCCAACACTGCACACCCCAGTATCCCTAAGGCAGAATTCCCATTGGAGTACAGAGACCACTCACCTGTGTGTACAAACGTCCATCTGGGGAGTTGTAACATGGGTGCCAGGCTTCAAAAAAGAGCATAGGATAGAGACATGAAAGTATGGCCAGGATGCATCCTTACCTGTGAAAGCACTGGTGTGTGTAGTAGGCCAGCGTGAAAGGTGAGATGACAAGCTTGCTGGCCATGGAGCTGAGCTGCCTGCAGAACCTCTCCACATCCTGGCTGATGCGCTGGTCCCTGCTCAACACAAAGAGCCATGGACACTGTTAAAGCCTAGATTCAAGAACCAGTACTAAACCCCTAAAAGGGAACAAGCCAGACTGTTTCACTGTGGGAACTTAGGACAGGGTGAGGTGAACAACCCTGCCTGGGAGGGACCTGCAGCTGTGACTTCTGCTCCCCCATAGAAGACCATTTCCATGGCCCAGCAGGACCAAACTAAGAGGGCCTCCCTGTCACCCAGGAAGAACAGCTCTTGCTGTTACTCTCACCCTGTTCCTTGTATTAATCCTTTGTTTCACTTTCAACAACATTGCTCAACTCTGTGCTAAAGGTCTCTGCATTCTTGTCCTTTACTCCTCTCCTGGAACAACCCCCAAACTACAAAACACTGCTGACTCTCCCCCAGACCTTCAGTACTGGTCCTGCATCTCAGGCATCAGAGCCATCAGGACTGGCTACGGCACAGGCCAGGCCTTTGTCAACTGTTGCATATTTGCAAACACTTCCATCAAAGCCACACTTCCACAGTAGCTGGTCCTTTTACTGCAAGGAAGAAAGTGCTTCCACTTGCCCTAGCTCCCAAGAGCAGGCAGCAGTACACCAACTCTTCTCACCTCATTGGCAGCAGGCACACGGGTGACAGACCTTCGAGTCCCACCTATCGCACTGCTGAGTAGGAGTTGCACTTGGGGTAACTAGAAGAATTTCAACATATTTACTCCCTCAGCACCTCATCTGCCCAGAGTACACAGACAAGGACTTCAGCCTGCTGTGCTATGCCCAAGTGGAAAGAACATGACTGTGAACGTTGGAGACCAGAATAAAGAGCAAGGCTGGACCCCTGGTTATTCTCAGTGCAGATACAACTACAATGACTTTCATCTCAAATCTTTTGCAGCCCTGGAACAGCAGTGGATGTAGGTTTGGGGCAGCTCTCACTGTGACTGACCTTACAGTCATAATTTTTTCTTTCTCCTCAGACTGCAATTGTTCCCATAAAGTTGTAATTTAAGCTGTTCTACAGACTCATGGGAGGCTATTGCTTTTTACGAGCTATTAAGCAACATGTAATGAAAACACATAAACATCAATTCAAATGCCCTGTTAGGTGCTGCAAGTGTTTGTATGTCACTTAGAACGCACTCTTCATTCCTTTGAGATGGATGACTCCAGGCATCTAACACTCAGCTTGGTTTGCACTGCATAATGGGAGGTCTCTTCATCCCTCTAGTTCATTCTCTCTAAGGTGCAGAGAAAAAATTCTCATCAAGAAATTGCAAGCTGAGAGAATTTTTCCAGTGACACCAAAAAGACACTTAACAATAAGACTGGATGTTGGAGCAGAAGCAAGGTGTTAATGAGAAATACTCTGTAGTAATCTCACACATTTGGTCTGCTAAGGTCAAGAGAGCTGGCTCTATTGCTGCAGAGCAGAGTGACCCAGTTATCTCCTGCATTTCACTGCACAGTGTGAACACATTCCCTGGTTAAAAATAAACCTGAGCAGAATAATCATGTAGTGAGGGGCCTCTGTCCTCCACTTCCCCTCCACCTCCAAGGAAAAAGACAGGTATGCAGGCTATGGTCAATGCACTACACTCCCTGGGAAGCAATGCATGCCTTGGTGCATGGATTTTTAACCTCTCCTTGCAACTCCACTACCACTGCAAAACACCATCAGAAATGAACAGCAAAGCCTGGAATCTCAAAACACCTGTTTGTAAAACATTATCCTTTGATTTCTTGTTTTTCAGCAAGTATTTAATAATAACTTCTTTAAATTCCGGAGGGGGGAAAAAAGCCTCTACCTTGAGATTGCCCCAGTTGGTTAGAGCATGGTGCTAATAACACCATGGGTTCGATTCCTGCATGAGCCATTCACTTAAGAGTTGAACTCAATGATCCTTGTGCGTCCCTTCTACCTCAGAATATTCTGTGATTCTGTGACTTCTCACATGATGTCTCACGTAGGATCTTTAACTCTTCAAACCGTATAACTACAACAGCAGTGCCCTGTGTGCAAGGACAGGCTGAAAGGCCAAGGTCCACACGCAGTTATGAGGAAGGGAGGTGTTCGACCTTTGCTGCACAGGCCAGGAAGATCAGCAGCTCTGCAGTAAGCAGGACAGCGCACCAAGCAAATTGGAGAGGGACTTCGGTTGGGGTGGGCTGGGATAAGCAGGGAGGGACTGAATGCTCCTCCTCTCATATTTCGAGTCACTCCTGACATTTCCTTCCTAGGAACAGGAAAAGGGAAATGCAGCCCTCATACAGTGCAAAACAAAGCCCTTCCTGGACATTACTCCCAAGGGTTATCAAAACCACTACAACCCCAACTGAACAGAACTGTGTTCAGCTGCAGACTCTGGTGGTTGAAGTTCAAACAGAACAGGGACTGTCCTGAAGCACTGGCTGTGTGAAGGTAAGAAAGGCACTGCTCTCTGACTTCAGCCAGGCCCTTTGTAACATCACACTGCGTGCTAAGGGTTGAGTTTGCAGACAGCATGTTTTATACTAGAAGTAGGTGCCTGTTCTGATTGATATCCATATTCCTTGCAACTGAAACATCCTACCCCTAAAACCATCATGACCAGCAGTCACAGGAGTTCCCAGCAACAGGTACCACCAGAGCAGAAGAGGGTATTTGCGCCTAAAAGGTAAAAGCTTCTAGGGCTCAAGCCCCTAGCCAGAGACACAGAGAAGCCAGGAAAAGGTGCACAGCAGTCCAGAAGCCAAGCAAGATACTGAAAAAAGCCGCAGGCAGCCTACGGATTATCGATGTCCTCACGCAGCACATGCAGGCTGTAGTAGACCTGGCCTTGGAAGTAGCAGCTGTGGAGGTATTCAGTGAGGGATTTCCTCCAGTTCACGTACATCATGTTGCAGATAAACTGGTCGAAGCTTTTTAGCTGGAATGAGGGCAAAGAGAAAGACAGGAAGATGCAAGTGAGAATAACAAGCATTTCCCAAAATGAAATAAAAACTAGCAGTTTCTACTAGTGATCCATCTCACACATAGCTACCTAGCTGGACATGGGCAGACTTAGATCCTCTGTGACCAGAATCATGACGGGAGCCAAGGGCAACTTTCCCTTCCTCTCCCAAGACATTTTGAGCCTCTGGTCTTACCGTGGAGTTCACTATGATCAGAGTCACGGCAACGGCAGTCAGTGTTTTGAACCCGGAGAAATCTTTGTTCCCTAGGACCTCATAGTACTGGCTGGGGATGACGCCGACCTGGTAAATAACCAGCTGCTCTGGAGGAGGGAGGTGAGTACAGGAAGAAATTGAAGGACAGCGTTGACAAGGCCAAGCAGGGGAGCACGGGGAGCAGCCGTGGGATGCCGCCCCCCCATCCCCACCACCCCGGCTCACCCAGCAAGGCGACACCGAGCAGAGTCAGGAACATGAGGGCGCTCGCGGAGGGCCACCCGGGGAAGAGCACGGCCAGCAGCCGCAGGAACCGCCGCAGGAACAGCCCGTCCAGCCGGGGGACAGCCCTGCAACGGAGGGACACGCGGGGGCCGGCAGTGAGCTCGGGGGTTCCCACCCCACTCCACCTCCCCTCCGCCGCGTCCCGCCCTGGCCGCGGAGGGGCCCCCAGCCCGGCCTGTCCGGTCCCTCCTCACCGGCCGCCGGTCCTGGCGCCCCCCCGCGCTGACGCTGCCTCCCGCCATCGGACCCGCCGGACCGTCCGGGAGAGCACCGCCCCCGCGGGCGCTACACGGGAATATCCATCACCTCTCCTCGCCCGGCATCAGCCCCCCGCGCCCTTCCGCGTGCAGCGTCACCATAGAGATCCCGCCCGCCAGCACCCCCCCTCCCGCGCGAGACCCGGCGGGAGCGCCCCCTGGCGGGGCACCGCCCTCACCACGGGCACAGCACCCCCTGGCGGTGGCGTGTGAGTTTATGCGGGGAGGGCGAGACCCGAGGCGCCCCCAGGAAAAGGGACCTGGCGGGGGATCCCGGGGCCGTGGGTGCGCTCCCGTCCCGCACCTCCACCCAACCCGCCCCCTCACACAGCCGGCCCATGGCTGCCGGGCACGCTCCAGGGCCGAGCCATAGGCAGGAGGGCTGTAGAAACCAGGCACTAGCCGCTCTTCCCCTGAGGAAGGAGCTGGGCGGGCGCGACCTGCTCCCTCTGGGGATCCCAGAGGCTGAGGGACGGTTCCCCTGGGCAGCGGGTACTGTCCACCTGTCACAGGGGACACAAGAAAGGAGGACCAGTACTGGTTCTGCATGTTTGGCTTATTTTGGGGTCAGCAGTGAAGTTTCAGGTTGCTTCAAAAGGACACACAACTTGTGGTGGCCACTGCAGGGGATTTCTCAAGTGGGGGCCTTGGGATAAGGCAGCGATTCCCACCGTGATGGTGAATGACGGTGTGTGCTCCCCACTCTCCTGCATGAACTGGAGTGGGGCAGCACGAAACCCCAGGCAGAGGGTAGGGAGGGACTTCAAGAAAGCAGCAACGGGCTGTGCCAGTGAATGGACTCTCTCTGGCTTCTCAGTGATCCCAAGTTTCATATAGAAACCAACAATTATTTTTTTCCAGATTTGGGCTGACTTCTGGTTTCATAACCCGGAATTCTGGGTTGTGAAATGTTTCAAAGCAAGTAAGTTTCTGGACAAGTCTGATGATGATAAGCGATGAGGGATCCTATGAGCTTGCATCCCTTTCTTACTCGTGTGTCTCACACCTACCACCCTGTTGATGCCATTTCTTCTGCAGAGCTTTTGGGATTCTGCACATACCCCTTCCCGTACAGCAAGTAGCTTTGTTCTCCCAGTTCCCTGCCTCCCAGCCCTCTTTCTCTTTCCTCATCCTCATCTCCTTCATCTTTGCTCTGCTTCTACCTGCTCAGTGGTCCAGATACTTCAATACACAAAATCAGAGTATATGTACTCAGGGATGAAAGAAGACACATCAATCTGTTTCCTCAGTAAATGGCCCTGTCCCTAAGCGGTGTCCCTTTCTCCTTGTCCTCATCTCCTTCTCTCAGCTCTTTTATTGCATTCACAATGCTATCAGTCATACCTAAAGCTTAAGCTTCAGAGGGCAGAGATCAGCCCTCTGAAAACCTGACCTCAGCGATGACTAATTTTTATGTTAAAAGAATTGGAGTTTTTTTCTCAGCTGTTGCATCAGACCTGGGCGACTGTTGCTCCCAGGCAGTCACATCCTCTCACGGTGCAGTACTGCAGCTGTGGCAATTGTGTGTGTCACCTCTTCAGTACCTACTGGGACTGAACTGACTCCTTTGCTCTCTTGTCCACTTTACGACAAGGGGATATTCCTCCCCTTCCCAACTGATGAAATGACTTCTCAGCACCAAGGGAGACAGAGGATCTGAGATGGCCAGAACTGCCTATCCCAAGCCCTTCCTCCTACCTGTTCCTCCTCCCTGCCCTTTGTTCTGTCCCTGTCACCCCATGACCACCACCTGATAAAGCACAAGTGAGTTCCCTTTAGTGTATCAGCTTCAGGATTTTTCCTGGGAACCCTCCTAAGTCAGCCAAGATCAAGAACAAAAGAGAAGTGCCTTCTCGGTGACTCTCCATCCCCCCTTGGAGGCTGTGCCCTAGACACTCGGTGCTCTCAGCACAGAAACATTTACATCTTTTACAGCACTCAAGCTCTACTTCTCACGTTTCTCCCCCAGCAAACACCATGGCCATTCCAGTGTGTGTGCCTGGGGGCAGGGCTTGGGAAAGGACTGGGGAATCACAACTTGAGCAGGGGTTTATGTTTGCACTGAAGGGCCATATCTCAGCTCCCTGACTAGCTACAGACCCTAGAGAAACCCCTCTGCATTGCTAACCTGTCACTAAAGTGCTATGAATCCAGGGAAGAGAGAGCTGGGCATGGCTTGCTAGGTCCTGGACTCCTTGAGGCAGTGTGAGTGAATTCCTTGTGGTGTTTAAATCCAGCCCCATCTGCTCCTGCTTGCTAGGTGTGAAACATCCCATCCCCCATCCTCCCCTGCCTGCTGTTAGATGCATTTTTGCCCTGTCCTGGACCAGTGAGAAAAGCCAGATCCTCCTGCACCCCCGGACTCACAGCGGTCCCCTCTGTGTTCCCACTTCCCTGTGGTCCCTCTCTGCCTGTTGGCCTGTAGCTGGGATGTAGGGAGAAGCCTGACAAAGCCATTTTTCACTGTCTTTGAGGGGCAAGTGGCTCTGGGTGTTCTCTGAAGGAAGCAGCAGCTGTCTGATCACAGAAACACAAAACTGCACCCTTGACTCTGCAGCTTGCTTTCCCTCTTTCACAGGTCTTTCTTAATGCTGCTGGCTTTGTGTGATGTTGCATAATGAAGCACTGCCAGAAGATTATCCCCTTCCTGGGCTTTCCAAAACTGAATCCACCATTTCCTGCCCATGTTTCCAGTTTCTAATCTCTTCATATGTGCCCATCCTCACTGGAGTTTGCAGCTTCTTCAGTTTGGGATCACCTCCAAGCTTTAGCCCTCTGTCAGAGGAGAGGTAAGGAGAGGTAAGCCTCTGTAAGGGAGAGGTAATGAAGGCTGCCATCCTCAGTTTCAGCTCTGTCTGCATTACAGTATGAAATAAACCAACCAATTTTCAGCTGGACCAGCAACCTGAATCAGTTGAGAGAGTCCCTCACACTCCTGTGCCACCCCAAAGCAAAGGGTGGGAATGGGGAACGGAGGGAGGCAACTAGCAGAGGCCAGGCTCAGCATGGCTTAAACCTCCATGGAGCCACACCATGGGCTCCTGCTGGGATATCTTAATGATTCTGCCTTTTCCTTCTCCACACTCTGTGCCTTAATTAGCCTTTCCCCCTCCTGTGGGCCAAACTGCTCTGCTTTCTTTTCAATCCTCCTTCCTTGTGCTTTGCCTCTAACAGTGTCTTTCTACTGTACACTTCAAAGGCTTTTCTTGTTGCATCTCCCCCATGCTGGCATCGGCTGGTAACACCCCAAAGCAGGCTAGGTCTGCCATGAACTCATAGCCATTGAAATGGCTTGAGGCCCTTTGGATCTGGGTAAGAAGAAGGCATGGGGGATGAGAGGTGAAAAATTTTCATCATTTCACCTATGAGAAGAATTATTAGTAACACAGGAAAAACGAGGGGGAAAGCAGACCCCTCCTCCACCCACCCTCCCCAGTGGAGAGCCCGCTGAGGGCAGAGTGCTTTTATGTGCAAGTGGGAGGGAAGGAGAGTGTTAGGGCTTCAGAGGGAAATGCTTTGATCTTGACTTTGAATCTCCTGCAGTTCCCAGCTCTCCCCCATCCCTGCCACGCATGGCCAGGACCCCAGGATGTGGCCAAGACTCCTGGTCCTTGCTTGGTGCTTTGGTATTGCACTTGGTGCTTCATGTTTAATTTCCTCCTATGTGCCAGGGAGCCTCATGGGGCATCGTGAAACAAGTGCACAGTGCCAAGACCAATTTTAAACCTTCCCTCCAATCTCACAGAGTGGGAAGGAAGAGGGAGGCCAGCTGGACAGAAGCCAGAAGGCAAAACAGTCCTGAGCTGAGCAGAGGTGAATTAGAGATGGGACCTACTGTCAGGGCTCTGGTATCCCAGGGCAAGGGAAAGGCAGACCTAGCTCTCCTGTGCACTCATGATGCATTAGACTGGTCAGTGTTGAACAGCACCCAGAAGATGAACTGGGAGGCAGTCACCATTAGGAGAGGGACACGGTACTCTGGGTGACTCTCAGGAGACAGCACTTAAGTTCCGTGGTCCCACAAGAAGGGATCTTAGGTCAGAGAGAGAACAGCATTGAGGGCTCTGGGTGTTCTTTAAAGGATGGGAAGGAGGCAGCACTGAGGGGTGCTGGAGGAAGGGGAATGACCCTGAGCTCTTAGTCACTTCAAAGGAGGAGGGCAACAGGGTATGGGAGAGACTTAGGGCCTCAGTCTCTTGTCCAAGGTGGGATCTAATGTGTAGGTCAGTTCCCCACTTCCCTTGGGAGATGAAACTCCTGGCTGGGCCTTGCCACCAAACTGTCCTAAAGTTCTGGCCACATACTTCTGCCCACTGTGCCGCCCCTCTATCCTCAGTCACGTGGCTGAAGTCACTCCTGTAAACTGCTCTCACTCACTGAGGTTGATGCACTCCATGTCACTGCCTGCCAGTTCTTACTTCAGCATCACCAAATAGAATTTCTCCTCACATCGTCTCCTATTCAATCACTCCAGCAATATTGCTTTTGGCTGAAAACTTCCTGCAGTTTGTCACCTTCCCTCTCAGTGTGATCTGAGCAGAACTGAATAAAATCCACTGTCTGCTGATGTCCAGCACTGCCCAGGGCATGCACAGACAGAAGGATGCCTAACAGGACCTCTACACAGAGCCCAACAGTCAGTCTCTCTGATCATCACTTTAAGGGCTCCAGCACAGGCATGAGGTAGTGGGTTCAGAGGTGGTTTCAGGTCTGGGAATGAGAAGTACCAGATGGTATGAACCCCAAAACAGGACTTCTGTCATTCACCTTGAACAAGTTACTACAAAAATTGGTGCGCACTCCATGTTTTCCAGTTCCCTGTTGGGTACAATCATACCAGAACCACTTGACATTCCTTTCCCCTAAGACTGGTGGGTATATTGCAAACCTATTTCTGTTGCCAATTCAGACTGCAAGCTCTGTTCATTGCTTTCCTTGTAGAGCAATGCCAGGCATAGGAGAGAAACCCAAGAAAGCCAAGACAGCACACTTAGGACCCTCATGCTCTCATTTCTGTCAGCCCCTCAGCAGTCCCAGCTCCCCTGACTTCTCAGAAGGATGACAGCACTCAGATTCAGATTC